GTTGAAAGTTTTTACTATGTAAAGGTAGAATTTTTAAGGTATGAATGTAAAGAAGACCAATAATATTTTATATATGAGTGTCGTATATTTATATTTTATTTATATAATATAATATTGTATATAATATATTAATATAATAATAATACTAAATCCACAGATTCTGCGATATATTGTATATATCATAACTTATAATTTATCATCATATAATTCGATTGTTAACTTGTAATTCTTAAGCTTGCATCTAATATGGTGTAATATAATAAAAGCCATTTAAATAAATAAAGCCAAAAATATATTTCTACTTTTAAATCAACCTGAATACACCACAATGAGAATATAAAGGCAGTAAATAAGAGGCGGACGGGAGAAGCAGCACAAGTAAGGGACCGTCTTGTAGTACGGTGTCGTGAGCCCCGAGCCGCTACGGTAACCGTGAACAGGGAACTCTGAAATGTGGCTGACTAACGGGGCAATGGCACCCTTCCTTTCCATGGAGCATGGACAAGACACCACCATCACCGTAATTATTTATATCAATATTCATTTTTATTATTTAGCTTCAAAAGGAAGGATTGAGATTCCCGTGGTTAATAATGAGGATATTTTTTTTATACAAATTCCAAATATTTTCTTCAATATTCAAAACTTTCGTTCTAGATTTGCAGAACTTTTGAATTCGTTGCCATCATTTCACGAAAATTCTGATAATGAATTGTGTGCTAAAGGCAGTCTTGGATATTTTTCATGAAGCAGTTGAAACAGAAACTATGGTGACTATGAGGATCATTTAAATTCCTGAATCAAAGTTCGACAAAAGAATATGCTCTTCAAAATTTTACAGTAAGAAGATTGTTAAGGATATCATTTAAAGTAGGTAAACACACAAAAATTCGAAACTATTTTAAAGGCGTAAGATTCTTTTTGAAAATAAACAATTTCTACTGCCCTTACTGCAATGGAAAAATTAATGGGAGGGCCTGGCTCATCAGTGGTTAATTTTTCCATTGCAGTAAGGGCAGTAGAAATTGTTTATTTTCAAAAAGAATCTTACGCCTTTAAAATAGTTTCGAATTTTGATAACAGATGGCGCGCTAGTGCATCATATAGGTAAACACACACACAAAGCTTTCTTAAGACCACCGGTCTTATACAGATAAAGTGGGTGAACAAAAAGCCTTTTAAAAAGTTTTACCACACTCAAATGTGGTATAATTGGCTGGAAGTGGTACTTCTAGGTCTCTTGTTGAAGGGAATATTGGCCCGAAAGCTTGAAAAATAAAAAAGTCAAAAGAGACCTGGCCGTGGATTGCTTATGGATTTTTTTTTTTTAATTATGGTATTATCTATTTAAAAAAAATATAGTGTTGGAGACTTAGCTCTGTCTTTGTTTGGTCCCTTCCTGGCTTAACCACTTTAGGACGTTGTCCACTTTCCGCCACGTTGAAACACCATATAGGGATTTCCCCTTTCTAGGAGATTATCTTATTTTTTAACAACAACAAAAAGGTCATTAAGATCTTTTGATCTTATACAGATTCTCCGAGTAAAAGAGGGTATATACAGAAATAACAGTAATAGTAACAATAATTAGCAATGTTATTTATAATGTATCAAATAAGGGTAAAGAAGAAAGAAAGGGCTTGGTATAAACTTATATTCTGTAAATAGTATCTTATAATAAGACATTTTCCCCACTTGTTTTGCATATAGGCTCTTTAATACTAGTGTTTGATTGTGTGTTTGTTTCTTCATAGGTAAAGAGATATTTTTAGAAAAAAAATCATGAAAAAAAGATGAAATAAATAACACATGAGTAGATAAAAATAATAATTTATTTATTTTTTATACAAACAGGATTTTTTTTTATAAATTAAAAGTCCGGGAGAGGACGGCCTATATACAAGGAGTGGCGGGAAAATTAGGCCGATAGTGCTGCCGTCTGGTGGATGGGCAGTTGTGCGCGTGCTTGGTAGAGAGTCTCAACCCAGCGCTTCACATCCTTGTTGCGGAAGAGTCCTAAAACAGAAGTCCATCAAGTTAGAAAGATTTTTCGATAAAAATTGTCAATTTTGTAAGAAACAATCAAGAGATAATTATTTAAGAGAGAAAGCAAATTCAAAAGAAAAAAAAAAGTTATAAGGTGAGCAAAATTTGAAACCTAGGTGTAAAGAAAATAAAAAGGGTATGTGGGCAGAGTAAATCCGAAGGTAAAAGGTCATTAGAAGGGTAAATTTCAAGGAAAGAGGTCATTAGAAGGGCAAATTTAAAGGAAGGAAGTCAATAGAAGTGCAAATTCAAAGGAAAGAGGTCATTAGAAGGTCAAATTCAAAGGAAAGGGGTCATTCGAAGGGCAAATTTGAAGGAAAGAGGTCATTAGAAGGGCAGATTTAAAGGAAGGAATCATTAGAAGGGAAAATTTAAAGAAAAGAGGTCATTGAAAGGACAAATTCAAAGGAAAGAAGTCATTAGAAGGTCAAATTTAAAGAAAATAGATAATCAGAAGAGCAAATTCGAAGGAAAGAGGTAATCAGAAGGGCAAATTCAAAGGAAAATGTCATCAGAAAGGCAAATTTAAAGCGTAGATTCGAAAAAAGAAAAGAAAAAGGTCATGACCAGAGCAAATTCGAAGTAAGAGGTCATGAGAAGAGCAAATTCAAAAGGGAAAAAATCATATGAAAGGAAAATTTTTAAGTAAAGGTCATAAGAAGAGAAAATAAGGAAAGATACGAGTATATGTAATACTCGTATATGTGAAAAAAAAAATAGATATTTGAAGAAAGGCAGTCAAGACAAATCAAGTTAGAAAGAAGAAGATAACTCAGTAAAATTCAAAGATAGTTTCTATTTAAATAAATATGAGTTTCAAGGAAATCCTTTTATATTAAAAGTGAAATAATGGGATTCTCTGAGGGTCAGTATAAAGAACCTACCGTTGGTGGTATCGAAGAAGTCCTGCAGGGGTTTCTCGTATGTCTTCTCGTACTCGTAGGCAGTGAGAAGCATTTCAAATCTATCGAGGTCTTTGACTACCTGGGCTTCCACAGACTTCTGGTCTTCGTACTCCTGCACAGACTTAGTTGTAGGTACTGTAGAAATGGCATAGATAGCGTGGATTGTGGACATTGCGTTGGAATTTCATTTATCGATAAATCGCAAGGCGAAGCGAAAAAAAGTTTATTTATTATATACGGTTGTATAAGTTTTCGGGCAAGACGTCCTTCTATGGAGTACAATAGGTATTGTAGCCGTAGAAGGGTGTCTCACCCTAAAGCCTATGTAGTAATACAAGACTTGTATAGTCAATATATACTCTTCATTGTCATATATAACATAATTATAATAAGTGTAAACAGCACCAAATGTATATAAACGTCAGCACGTCAGCTTGACGATCATGAAATCAAATAGGACAAAATATAGTTTTGAAAGGCGGAGTGAGGTCTAGTTATTCGAGATTACGTCATACATGCAAATTTCCTCCCGGGATATTCCACAAGTTATTAGTGAGTTTTACGACCAGCTGCGGGGCGACAGATCATCTTTCCCATTCTTGAATGGGAACCCCTGCCTTCGATCGCTGGCCTTTCTTAGGTGCCATCCAGCTTCCTTCGTCCTTAATATAGAAAACCTAGATGCCTGAAACCACTGGGCCCCATGACTGCTGTTGCTTGTGGTACGACATATATATATATTAAAGAAACTCTTTCTTCTCGCCTTGCGATTTTTCTATGAGATTATTATTGTAAAATCATATAATTTATGTTGTTATGTTAGGGCTGTCTTCCGGTATGCGACCGAAATGAGATTCAATTCTTTCGACATTTCCTATTTCCTCTAAGGAGGTATATGCGAAATGATATGAAGAGTTGTAAATAGACAAAATAACTCATCTAAAAATGTGTGGAATATTTATTAATATATTTTTTATGGTCGCGAAGTGTTACAATAGAGTATTATGATGATTTTGAAATAATTATAGCATGGATTGTAGGAAATAGATTATATGGAATTGTGTGTGTTGTGTTAGATTTATGAAATTGTGGCTTTACATAACAGATGTAATGCATGTTTTTTTCCCTTTACTTATCCTAATTACAAGTGGTACAAGCCATGATAATCATGGTGAGTAGTTAACGACTGCCTTTACTGTAAGTGTACCACATGTCTACATATGTAGAAAGCAGTTCGACTTTTGAACTTACAGTGTGTCAGTCTCGTTTAGCTACTTTCATTCATTGGTGGAGTTGGATTTTTGCACAAATCGGGGATCATTGAAAACCTTTTTTTATAATTAGAAAATAGTTCACAATGCAATAGTTCGCAATGGGTTGTGGCTGTCGAAATATCGACGGTTTATAACACTTGTTCACCAACAAACCCTTGTATACCTGTTAAGATATTGTAGCAAAGTATTTATATTATATATTTATAATTATATGTAATTCTGCTGTCCTAAAAGCTTATGTCCATAGTTCATTTAAAATACCCATTCGAAGAGTCAAGCATCAGTATCACTATAAAAGGAAGTTCCAAAAATGCAATATAATAGCGGTATGGTAGATTAAACTGGCGAAACCGCTGGGAGGGTTCACCACTGATAAGCCAGGCCCTCCCTTTCATTTTTCCATTGCAGTAAGGGCAGTAGAAATTGTTTTATTTTAAAAAGAATATTACGCGTCTAAAATAGTTTTGTTATTTATTATTTTATTAGCAGAGTAATATTTTTTTATGTTTATATTTTGCTAGACTCTGTACACTTCCCTCTTTTGATTATCTTTTGTTTATCACTCATAGTTTGTTCTTGCCTGAAATAAATTGTTGTCTCATCCCGAAATTGGTCTTCCCTAATTTTCCACGTGGCAATATTTATATTATTTATATTTTGATACTCTGTAAACTTCCCTCATTGCTTATCTTGTACCTTATAAATGTTGATTTTGTTCTTGCCTTAAATAAATTGCCGTGTCATTCTGAAGTTTGTATTTCCTAATTTTCTATGTTACAATATAAGTGATAAAGGTACTGACCTCGTACAGCTCCCAGATCTCATCAGCGAGCTTAGGTTCAAGCATTTTCATCATACCGCCCATGGCTTTCTGGAAACAACAGCCATCGTATGGTTAGAACAGATTGGTCATATAACCCATGTTAACATGATATGCCTATTAGTTAATAGAAGATAAATCACAAGACAGGGAGAAGCTTAGTTTCTTTCATTTCTTCCCGTCTCTTGTGATTTTTCTTCTACACTCATGGACAAAACTTAAGGAAGTTTTACCTTTTAGCATATATATCGGGATTCAGACAATAACTCGGATAGATATTCGATACATAGTGACCTTTATTGAAGACACACGAGATAACCAAGTGTGAACAAAATTGCCTCTGCCTTCTCCAAAAAAAAAAAAAAAAGCAGACGACCGTCGACATAAAAGACTTTCTACTTCCTTAAGTTTTGTCCATGAGTGTATTTGGTTATCTCGTATGTCTTCAATAAAGGTCACTGTAATATCTTTCAGAGTTATTGTCTCAATCCCGATATACATGCTAAAAGGTACAACTTCATTAAGTTTTATCTATGAGTGTATATATATAAACACTAAGCCGTATATTATAGTAAATGATCCCTCTTACCAATTCCTTGTTTTTCTTAACATCAGCCGGGACGCCACACTTGGGAGTGATGTCTCCCACAATGCACTCGGCGACGTCGTGCAGCAGAGCCAGCTTGACGCATCTGGTGACACATCCATGATGTCACACACATTCTAGGAAGTCACGTGACTGTCCACTCACTTGGTCTTGTCGATCCCCTGGCTGCCGTCAGCGTCCAGCAGCATGGACAATATGGCCATCCGATACATATGGTCGGCGATGCTCTCAGGGTTGGCGATCTTGTTCAACAGCCAGCCGTTCCTCTTTTCCGTCTGTAACATCCACATAGGTTCGAATCCCATCTCTCCTAGTTCTTCTTTTCATATTAAAATTATGGATATATCCATGTTTCGATCCTATCTTATATATCTTGCAGATTAATTATGCTAAATATGAAAATACATCCATGTTCTAATCATGGGTTGGTGATCTTGTTCAACAGCCAGCCATTCCTCTTCTCCGTCTGTAACATCCACATAGGTTCGAATCCCATCTCTCCTAGTTCTTCTTTTCATATTAAAATTATGGATATATCCATGTTTCGATCCTATCTTATATATCTTGCAGATTAATTATGCTAAATATGGAAATACATCCATGTTCTAATCATCGGTTGGCGATCTTATTCAACAGCCAGCCGTTCCTCTTTTCTGTCTGTAACACCCACATAGGTTCGAATCCCATCTCTCCTAGTTCTTCTTTTCATATTAAAATTATGGATATATCCATGTTTCGATCCTATCTTATATATCTTGCAGATTAATTATGCTAAATATGGAAATACATCCATGTTCTAATCATGGGTTGGCGATCTTGTTCAACAGCCAGCCATTCCTCTTTTCCATCTGTAACATCCACATAGGTTCGAATCCCATCTCTCTTAGATATTTTTTGTACTCAAATTATGGATATATGCAATGTTTCAATCTCATCTTATATATATTCCGGCTTAATTATGGTAAATATGGAAATACATCCGTGTTCTAATCATATCTCAGATACCTTTTCAGTCTAATTATATTGAAAGCTTATGTTTGAATCTAATATCAAATATAACACATTTATATCTGCCTTCCATTTCAACTCTATTTGCAAACTAATTGTGAAATTGACTGGAAGCTTCAAAGTAGAATTTCAGTCTAATTATGGGAAGTTCTACAACCCATATCATCCAAAATCTCTTTGCAGTCTAATTCTTAGACATCTATAGCATACCTAGGTTCGAATCTCATCTCGGATCTTTTTGCAGCCTAATTCTGGGAGATCCATAAGCCATGTTTGAATACCATCTTAAATCTCTTTGCAGTCTAAATCTTAAACATCTACAGCATACCTAGGTTCGAATCCCATCTCAGATATTTTTTCGTTCAAATTATTTGACATCTACAGCATACCTAGGTTCGAATCCCAGAGATCTCTCATTAAAAAGATAGATTGTAGAAAGAGTTGAAGTTAACCTTCAGTTTCCCCAGGAGCAGCATGAAGTCCAGGGTACTGGTGCTGACGTCAGATGTCACAGAGTCGACTGGTGCTGTTCGGTTGGCCGCGGAGTTACACTTGGCATGACAGATGTCTGTGGGGCTCCCCAGACTGGCCTCCAGCGGCACAACGCCTGGTCACACAGCACCATTTCTGAATATTTAATATATCACTGTTGGCGCACTAAAGCGGACAGTTGCCTTTAAATTCAGATATCGAGGGACCACGTGGAGACAATTTCAAGCTGTAAAGGAGGTTTAGTAAGACGCCCGAGACTATCACACTTCCAAACTGATCTTTATTATTCGAAATTTTTCCTTTTATCTCAACCTATTTTACAAGAGAAGGAATCACCAGACAGCATCTTGAAGAAGGAATCAAAGTTTACGGCGACATGTTTCTTTTATTTATGCTGTAAATTCGGCAAGCTTTCGGACTTTGACGTTCTTCAACAGCAACTATCCAAGAAACTAGAGGATAATGTATATATATATATATACGTAAATATTTACATAATTATAAATTTTCTTAACATTTTCTTTACATATAATTACTACATTACACGAACAAAAAGACAATAAATATACATAATACACCCATACCTCGCTTTGCGTCGGGGTTACGTTCCAAAAAAAACGACGCAAAGTGAAAATATGTGAAGGCGCAATCAAAAACAAAGGTGTTGCCATATTTTAGGGAAAAAATGCAAAAAAAAAAAATTAAAAATTAAAGACTCGAATCTAAAACAACGCAACTTCGAAAATCTAACGACGCACAGTGAAAATCAGTAAAAATTAAGCAGCGACGCAACTTCGAAAAAAACGCAAAATGAAACGACGCAAAGCGAGGTATTGGTGTACCTACAATTTAGGTAGATACTAGCATACAAAGTAAACAATTCTAATCTTATACAATCACTCAACACAGAGGTTTATTTATTTGGTTAACTCAGGTTCGTGATTCAGCACACAGATAGGTCACCAACTTCACGGAAGTTGATATTTAAGGAATGTGGAGGTCCAATTCATGAGGTTGCTCCATGCAAATTTATTTATTTTTGTAAGATTTTCTAATAATGATAGATGTTGTGTTGTGATTGACATTTTTTAAATATTTAATTTATATATATATCCAATGCTTCAATCCCATCTTATATATCTTCTGGCTTAATTATGGTAAATATGGAAATACATCCGTCTTCTAATTATGGGTTGGCGATCTTGTTCAACAGCCAGCCATTCCTCTTTTCTGTCTGTAACATCCACATAGGTTCGAATCCCACCTCTCTTAGATATTTTTTTGTACTCAAATTATAGATATATCCAATGTTTCAATTCCATCTTATATATCTTGCAGCTTAATTATGGTAAATATGAAAATACATTCGTGTTCTAATCATATCTCAGATACCTTTTCAGTCTATTTATATTGAAAACCTATGTTTGAATCTTATCTCAAATACAATAATTGTAGTAAAAGCAGTCGCCAAACACAACCTGTCATGATTATTATGGCTGCTTGTACGACGTGTACTAAAGATAACTATCAATGATATAGTTCATAACATATAAATCATATCCTTTTATATATTTCAGAGATAAATTGCGAAGAGAAAAATGGCATTAACACAGTGTGTTTCACACAATATTTATTTTCCAACCGAATTTCAAACAAATATTTTATATAGCAAAAATTTGTATATATTCCAGGTTTCTGGTGTGTGTACTAATATTGTAAACATGGCATGAGCTAATATCTATTATATATTAATGTATAGTAATATTTTTTATTTTAAACAACAAGAACAAAAATCTTATTAAGAACTTTTGGTCTTATATATATTTTTCGATTTTAAAACTTATACACGTTTTAATTTCAAAATACACAATACCGTTTTCTCTAATTGATTAAATATATAAATTTTTTTTTTAGAGAAAAGAAAATTTTATAAGTGAATTTTGACAACACTATAATAAATAAAGCTCTCAATAAAATATAAATATATTGTGGTAGCTTAATTCATTTTATTGGATTTGTTATATTATTCAAACGAGAGAACTGTAACGCTTTATTTTTCTTCAATTTAATGCTAAGATACGCCATATATCAATAAAAATTATTGGAATGTGCTGCCTTATTATGACAAGAATCATTATTTAAAAATAATTCAAATGACCTTTTAAATTTGATAAAGATAATATATATTTTATTATATATCATATATTATTATTTTAATATATATGTCAACTAAACTCTCTATTTTTCAAATTTCTAAAATTCAAAGCACCGTTATATCAATAAAAATTTACAGAATATTTTATTTGTAGCCAAATGATAAATTTGTAAACAAGCGGTATCTAAAAATAACAAGGAAATGATAAATTTAGAAGGCACGATAAAGTTATGAGAACAAGTATTTATCTTTGTGAAAAGAAAATTTCCCTAAACTATAATTTCTTTTCTTATTCATTAAAACACATATAGATATAGATTATTCAATTATACTTATATATTCTTTTTTTTTTCAAATAGAAAATAAGACTATAATGACTAAATAGAGAGAGAGACATTTTATTTAAAAATATATATTACGTGTGTGCAAAGATAGTTTCTAAAAGATGGACTTATGTGTCTTTAGAAAAACTAATCAAATTAAATATATTTTTCTATAAAGCGCAAAAGCGAATAATATAGCTTTTTAAAGAGTTATTAATTCATTATATACATATTATCTTTGACCTAAAACAATTATAGCATTCAAAAAATATATAACACCTTTTTGTGATTTTCTCAGTATAATTTAATGAACAGGGAAAAAATTAAAGAACTCTGTTTTTTTTCCAGATGATTTCTATTCACCGAGACATGTAGCACACGATTTTAAAGAAATACATATAATAAAATATTACACATAATTTAGAACCAGTTGAATTTAAAAGTTTTAAATATCA